CCGGCTGAAATTTATGAAATGACCTGAAGTGGCTGAAAAAGCAGGCAAAAAAAAAAAAAAAAAAAAAAAAAAMAWAAAAYTTKTTCCGCAAACCACTTGAAACTTCTGAAATGACCAAAAGTGTCTTCAGGCCATTTGAGCGGTTTCATACCACTTTAGAATCTTTCATTTTGAAATTTCAAGTGGCCGTTAACCGCGAGTGTGGAGTTATACATGGTTACATTTTTTATTTATTGTTCATGTGGAGAGTAATGGAGCGAGGCCCTGACTGTACGTAGCATTCGAACAGTCGGCCCCAATACGAGCTGTGCACAACATTCGAACAGAGTCATCCGACATCGACGCAGTCTTGGAGCATTGCCATCACTCGTCAAGATCTGCCACGCGGCCACGATCCGCCATCGCAGTAAGCCGCCAAGAGGACCTCCAACCACCATCGCAGTAAGCCGCCAAGAGGATCTTCACTCGCCATCGCAGTAAGCCACCAAGAAGAGCTTCACGTAAGGCACACACACACACACACACACACACACACACACACACACACACACACACACACACACACACACGCAGAACACCTGAATGTTCTATTTGAATAGAACACCGGTGAGTTTGATAGAACATACGTGCGTACTATTCGAATATAACATATGTGCGTACTATTTGAATTTTGAGGGGTGACTTCGAGAAATCGACTTTTCCAGGGAAAGTTGAATAGTACATACATGTGTTTTGTTCTGGGGAAGACTGTAGGTACTGCTGGGTAGACTCTCTGATATTTGACCTGTAGAAAAAAAATTGCATGAGTCTAGCGTCCGAAGTTCCCATACGGTAAAGTTCCGCTTCCGGTTCCATTAGGGCTGGGGGGCTGCCCAGCCTTGGTGCTTGTCACTCCTGCCTAGTCCAAGTTGCCCTCGATATCAGGAGGGTGATGATCCTAAGTGCTGATCATGGTGAGGTAAGATAGTAGGGATAGGGGGTGTACTGGGAAAATTAACCTAGCCCCATCTCTCATTTGGAGTTTTATCGAATTTCTTGGACCTGGAATAACCAAGGTAGCAAAAGAACAGACTACAGACGATCTTTGCACTTTTTAACAGTAAAATTCACTTACAGGATGTTAAGACCAAAAATCAATTTGAGAGAAAGAGTGATAACAAGATGGATGAAGCATCTAAACCTAAGCAAACAAGACCTTAGCCCAATTAAGTGGTTCAAAGAGACGAAGACAAGACCAGCAAAGATGGTCTCACTTCAATGGCAAATTGAAAACAGGTGTCTCCCGACAAATGATTGGCTAATAAGTAGAACTTCACTGGAACAAAAAAGATTAGTTGTTCCCTGGTGTAAGTTCTGCAGGTTGGCCTTTCCCTCAAAACTGATCTCTGAAACAATTGAGCACGTCTTTATGCAATGTCCGGGGGATGTTTGGCTATGGAGATGGTGGGACCGCATTTGGAGACAATTAGAAACAATCACTTCATGGCCTTGGGGTTGGAGGTCAATACTATTAGAAACTTGGGCCCCAGATCCCTCACACAACTTTACAATAAACATCTTCATTCTAGGGAGAAGAGCGATCCTCTGGAGCATTTGGAAGATAAGGTGCACTTATGAATGGGAAGGAGTTCGTCTTGATGGACCAGAATTTACAGATTCAATTAAACAACAAATTCAATTGGACATTACTTCTAAATGGGAACAGACGAAGGAAAAAATCCGATATTTATCAAAAGGAAGTGAAATTCTCAAAAATATTCATAACTTCAACAAATGCTGGCTTGGGGGGGATCAGGGGGGGAAACTAGGAAAGGTTGTTTGGGAAGGAGTGGAAGGTAAGGAAGGTGAAGAGGTTTGCAGAAATTACCGCCTGGTATTTGAAGACTGGTCATTGGGGGATCCAATTTTGCCTTTGCGCCCGGTGGAGGACTTCCCAGACCCCTTTCCCCGCTTCTTCATTATCGATGGTTCCTTTGTCATGGTTTGAACATGATGTTAAAATAAAAAAAAGGGAATGTGGCCTATCCTGTCAGGACAACCATCGGTTGCTGCTGCCAGCGATCACCGTGGGTCTGGTTCTTGGCCTCTACAACACCCTGGGCATTTTTAAAAGAAAAAAAGAAAAAAGAAAAAAAAAAGTTGTAGGACATCGAAAGGGAAAACAACCATTAGGAAAAAGGGAAGGGTTCTCATAAAGGGGAGTGTCATGCTTTCTAGAAGGACAGAGAAGGAATGTTTCTGTTTCTGGAATAAAGGTCCAAGTGAGCAGTTAAACCACCAGCACCTCTACCAGTGTGCGGCCGCAGGGCGTTCACGTTAATGGGCCGCGACTTCCAGGGGCTTCGTGGTCGCACATAGTTTTCATCTGCAGCCAACGTTGCGGCGTGGGCCTCCAAAAGTTGAGAGGAGGCCCCCGCCGCCGCACAACCGGTAGGTACTGGTGGTTTAAACCACAAGACACAGCCCCAGCCTTGCTGAAAAGGAACTTGTCGCCCATCCGGAAAAGTCAGGACCGGGTCACCGGTTGTCAATGCGCATTGTGGTGTGAGGTTGCGGCTCAGTGGTTGTCAATGGTCAATGCGCATTGTGGTCTGAGGTTGCGGCTCAATGTGCATGTAAATTGGCTTGTGCCTCAGTGGTTAGGGCATCAGTTATCAATGCGCGTTGTGGCCTGAGGTTGCGGGTTCAAAACTCTGGACCTCTGCACAGAGACACCGGGGGCGTTTATATAGCGCATGGTCACTTGAACAACCCCTTGGGCTGACACAGGTAAGCTGTTACAGACACTGCGCGCGTACCACCCAAGGGTTAGTCCATGGTTGTTGTATGTCGGGGCTTAATTATGCGGGAGGTTTGCCTGAGGATGTTGGCCATAGGTAGTTCTGATGACACCCCCAGTCTGGCATAGCCTACGTTGGTACCATTTGAAACTGTACAATATGTGGTTGAGGATGACTGTTATACAATGATGAACGTGGGTTCAAATACACAAAACAGCAGGGTTGCCAGGCCGAACGTACGGAGGCCCCTAAGCTGACCCCCGAACGTTCAGGCATTCGGGTCCCCGTACTGACCCGAACCTGAAGGGGTTCAGACCCTGCAAAAAATGATTTTGGCACCTAAATATTATTTTTTTTTTCTGAATTTTTTTCTGCGAGTTTTTTGTGATGTAAGGTATCTCCCTCTTAATTTTGAAGCCATTCTGTTCAGCCAAAACAAAAAGAAAAATCGACAAAGATGGTGGTGTCAAAACTTGCTTGCCCACTCACTAATTTGTTTTTTCTCTCTTTTCACTTTTTGTTTTTCCTTCATTCCGGGGCATGAAAAAAATTATTATTTTTTCAAACTTTATTTGTATATCCTTAACACTCTTCCTTAACACTCTTTATGCGAATAGCGGGTCTCGAGTAACGCTCCCGCGAGATCCCGCTTTCCGCTGTTGGGAAACGCGGTGGGACCGATGGGCGGGCCCGACGGACATGGCATGAGGCCTTTGGGGCGGGCCCGACCGGCGAGGCCCGGGTTGGACGGCCCGATAGACCTTTCGGGGATCTGCGGATCTGCAGCAGATGTTTCCCAAAACTTCAATCGGGCCGTCCAGTCCGGGGCCGCTCGACAATCTCAATGGTTGTCGCGGGTTCGGCTTTTGCAATCGTGTGCTACTTCGTGCGGTGATATTTCGATGCGATGGTTTCGAGCGCTTTGTGGTCGCCGTGGTGGTTGCTGTGCTCGGTTCGACCGGAGAGAGAGAACGAGAGAGAGAGAGAGAGAGAGAGAGAGAGAGAGAGAGAGAGAGAGAGAGAGAGAGAGAGAGAGAGAGAGAGAGAGAGAGANAGAGAGAGAGAGAGAGAGAGAGAGAGAGAGAGAGAGAGAGAGAGAGAGAGAGAGAGAGAGAGAGAGAGAGAGAGAGAGAGAGAGACATCCGGTTCAACGAGAGGCAGGTGCAGACATCCCTCGAGGTCAGGAAGAGTGCGTCGGAGGAGAGGAGAATAAAGAGGCGATCGTGGGAGGAATTGCGTGGACGTTGCGCCGAGATGGCGGACGAAGGTTAGTTGATCGTTTTTCTTTTTTTTTCCCCTTTTTTTTTTTTTTTCTTTTTTTCGCGCAAGGTCGGGGGAGGAAGGGGAGAGGGGGAGAGGTCGGGGCAGGGAGGTCGGGATGGGGGACGGGAACGGAGAAGGGAAAGGTCGGGATCACGTCAGGAGGTCGGAATGGGAGACGGGTTGGGATGATGTCGCGGGAATGAAGTCGGGGAAGGAAAGGGAGAAGGAAGAGGTCGGGACGAGGTCGGGATGGGAAGGGAGTTGGGATAGAGGAGGAGGGAGGAGGAATCTAGGCATGGAAGAAGGTCGGGATGGGAGTTGGGATAGAGGAGGAGGGAGGAGGAATCTAGGCATCGGGCAAGGTTAGGGGAGGAAGGGGAGAGGGGGAGAGGTCGGGACGGGGAGGTGAGGGAGAGGTCGGGACGGGGAGGTGAGGGAGAGGTCGGGATCAAGTCGGGATGGGAGACGGGTTGGGACGATGTCGGGGGAAGGAAGTCGGGGTAGGAAAGGGAGAAGGAAAAGGTCGGGATGAGGTTGGGATGGGATGGGAGTCGGGATAGAAGAGGAAGGAGGAGGAATCTAGGCATGGGAGACGACTCGCGACGATGTCGGGATCGGGGGAGGAAGGGGAGAGAGGGAGAGGTAGGGACGGGGAGGTCGGGATGGGAGGTCGGGACCGAGAGGTCGGGATGGGAGACGCGAACAGAGGAGGGAGAGGTGGGGATGAGGGAGGGAGAGTTGGGACGATGTCGGGGGAAGGAAGGAGAGGGGGGGAGAGGTCGAGACAAGAAGGAAGGGAAGGTGGGGGGAGGGGAAGAGGTCATGATGAGGTCGGGATGGGATGGGAGTCGAGATAGAGGAGGAGGGAGGAGGAGTCCAGGCATGGGATGGGAGGTCAGGACGGGGAGGTGAGGGAGATGTCGCAATTAAGTCGGGAGGTCGGGATGGGAGACGCAATCAGAGGAGGGAGAGGTCGGGATCAGGGAGGGAGAGAGGTCGGGATGAGGTCGGGATGGGATGGGAGTCGGGAGAGAGGAGGAGGGAGGAGGAGTCTAGGCATGGGAGATGGCTCGAGACGATGTCGGGATAGGGAAGGGGGACGACGAGCTCGGAGAAGGAAAGGCGGGAGGGAGAGTTCGGAAGACGTCGGGGGAAGGAAGGAGAGGGAGGGAAAGTCCGGATCAGGTCGGGAGGTCGGGATGGGAGACGGGTTGGGATGGGGAAGGAAAGGGAGGAGGAAGAGATCGCGATGACGTCGGGATGGGAGTTGGGATAGAGGAGGAGGGAGGAGGAATCTACGCATGGGAGAAGATGGGGATGGGAGTTGGGATAGAGGAGGAGGAAAGAGTTATCTTGGCAAGGGGCAAGGTCAGGGGAGCAAGGGAAGAGAGGGAGAGGTCGGGACGGGGAGGTCGGGATAGGAGGTCGAGACCGGGAGGTCGGGACCGGGAGGTCGGGACCGGGAGGTCGGGACCGGGAGGTCGTGATCGGAGACGCGAACAGAGGAGGGGGAGGTCGGGATCAGGGAGGGATAGTGGGGAGGGAGAGGTCGAGATGGGAAGGAAGGGAAGGTGGAGGCAGGATCGGGATAACGTCGCGTTGGGATGATATAGGGGGAAGGAAAAAGAGGGGAGGAGAGGTTGGGACAGCAAGCAAGGGGAGGTCGGGAGGTCGGGATGGGAGACCTTTTTTTTTTTTTTTCTGTCGGCCAAGGTCGGGGGAGGAAGGGGAGAGGGAAAGAGGTCAGGACGGGGAGGTTGGGATGGCAGACGGGAACGGAGGAGGGAGAGGTCGGGATCAGGTGAGGAGGAGGGAGGAGGAATCTAGGCATAGGGCAAGGTCAGGGGAGGAAGGGGAAAGGGGGAGAGGTCGGGACGGGGAGGTCGGGATGGGAGGTCGGGACGGGGAGGTGAGGGAGAGGTCGGAATCAAGTCGGGAGGTCGGGATGGGAGACGGGTTGGGACGATGTCGGGGAAGGGAAGTCAGGGAAGGAAAGAGAGAAGGAAAAGGTCGGGATGAGGTCGGGATGGGATGGGCGTCGGGATAGAGGAGGAGGGAGGAGGAATCTAGGCATGGGAGACGACTCGCGACGATGTCGGGATCGGGGGAGCACAGGGAGAGAGGAAGGGGTCGGGACGGGGAGGTCGGGACGGGGAGGTCGGGATGGGAGGTCGGGATGGGAGGTCGGGACCGAGAGATCGGGATGGGAGACGCGAACAGAGGACGATGTCGGGGGAAGGAAGGAGAGGGGGAGAGAGGTCGAGACGGGAAGGAAGGGAAGGTGGGGGGGGGGAAGAGGTCGGGATCAGGTCGGGATGGAATGGGAGTCGGGATAGAGGAGGAGGGAGGAGGAGTCTAGGCATGGGATGGGAGGTCAGGACGGGGAAGTGAGGAAGAGGTCGAGATTAAGTCGGGAGGTTGGGATGGGAGACGGGTTGGAAAGGGAGAAGGAAAAGGTTGGGATAAGGTCGGGATAAGGTCGGGATAAGGTCGGGATAAGGTCGGGATGGGATGGGAGTCAGGATAGAGGAGGAGGGAGGAGGAATCTAGGCATGGGAGACGACTCGGGACGATGTCAGGATCGAAGGAGCAAGGGGAGAGAGGGAGAGGTTACGAGAGAGGTACAGGGAAGGGGGGCGAGGTCGGGACGAGACGATGCGAAGATAGAGGAGGAGGGCAACGAGGTTGGGGAAGGAAAGGGAGTAGGAAAAGATCGCGATGAGATCGGGATGGGAGTCACGATAAAGGAGGAGGGAAGATATCGGGATAGGGGAGGGGGACGACGGAAGGACAGGGGGGGGAAACCTCGAGACGGGAAGGAGGGGGAAGTGGGGAGGGGAGGGAGGGGGGAAGAGATCAAAAGATGCATCTACAACAAACACCCCGCTCGACATTTGCATTTATGGGTTGCTTCATACGGTGATGTTTCAACGCTCCGTTCAATGACAAGGGGGGACACAGACAGAGAGAGAAAGACAAACAAAGAGAGAGAGAGAGAGAGAGAGAGAGAGAGAGAGAGAGAGAGAGAGAGAGAGAAAGAGAGAAAGAAAGGGGACAATTGGTAAAAGTACGACCATAGGTAACACGAAAAAAAATCTTCGACCTATGTCGTACAACTTTTTTGGGCACAACACATAACACAAAAAAAACTCTTTCTTTTTTGCAATCCATGTTAAATATTGCGTCTCTGCAACTTCTACTATCTTGCCCCCCCATCCTCAATTCTCGCGATCTTCACTCTTCTCGCCGCGGGCGGAGCCGCACCGGGTCCACTTGTTCTCTATTATGTAAGATACACATTTATAAATTTTCATGGCATTTGTCACAGCCAAAAAACAATGAAAAATCACCAAAGATGGAGGTGTCCAAAACGTGCTCGCCCACTCAATAATTTCATTCTCGTTTTATTTTTTCTCTTTTTCATTATTATTGTTTATTTTTAGTATCTGATTTTTATTTCAAATTTGGTAAAGAATTTGGATGTAATGTTGAGGCAAATGTTGTTTAGTTTATTCTTCTGTATAACATATGTTTTTTCAGATTTTTTGAAATTCTTTTTTGTTTTTTGTTTTTGGGTCCACGTTCGGCCGAACGTGTGAACATTCGGGCGTTCGGCCCATCCCGAATGCCGGCAACCCTGCAAAACAACATAATTTCTATACCCAACATATACAGTCGACGAATGCACATACAATGCTTACGGATGGATATGGCCTATGCATAGGTACAATTGACAGTTAACTGCAGTGCTAGTGAGGGGGTATCCAGTCCTTACTAGGGTGTCATAGACTCAATCTGAGTTTGGGGGTGCTTTCAGATGGAGGTCAGTAACTAAGGTTGGGTAGGGGCTTAACACCCACTCCGGGCTTGCCCGTGATCCACCTAGCCCTAGGCAAGTTGAGCTAGTCAGGGCTTGTCTGTTGAGTCTGCCTAATTCTGGTGCCTCGGTAGGAATCTGGGTAGTAATTGTGGGCCTGATACGATACTGCTTGTGCTTGGCGTCCTAAGTTCCCCAGTGACAAGGTTCACTCATTTGTGCTTCGACTAGGGTTGGGGAGGGGTTAATGCCCGCTACGGGCTTGTCCGTCATTCGCCTTAGACCTGGGTCAGCTGGGCCAGTCCGGGCTTGTCCCGTTGAGCCTTTGCCTAGCCAGGCGCCTGTAACTGCTATTCGGTCCAAGTCATGCTCTTAAATAACGAGGTGATAGGGTGATCAACACTGAGGTAGGATAGTAGGAATAGGGGATGCACTGGGAGAATGATGAGAGGATGGGTCCGGAGGCGGTCTCACAAATTGAACGATGGCTGGCTGGTGCAGCAACCACTGTTTGTCTGGTACCTCGCCTCTACAACAACCTGGGCTTTAGAAAAAAAAAAAAAAAAAAAACTCTTCCATCGACAACCTTTGTCGTGTTTCGGCCTCCAAAAGGGGGTCACGGCCGATGTATGGTGTGTACTGGTGGTTTAAACCACCACTAGTTCCTAAAGTCACGGCAGTATATTAGCCGGCCGCGGGCTGAACGAACGGGCTACTATGGGAGCGCCCAAATTCATCTGACTAGAAACACTCCTACTCTATTTTTTCCGCAGCCGATGTACGGGCTAAGTGCTGGTGGTTTAAACCACAAGTTCACGCGAGCCACCTTCCGAGGCTTGCAAGCCTGCAACTGCGCCTTTTCAAAGTGGCATGCAACTTTTTTTTTTTTTTTTGGCCTGTTTGTTTTTTTGATGTTTGTATTATGACCCTGCATAGTTTGTTCGCAAAAGTTTCGACAACATTGCTTGTAGCGATGAGGCGAAAAACCCTGAATTTTTGGCCTTCCATTAACCGCTAGTGAGTCGGGTTTTATGTCGATCATATAAAGCACCTACACATAAAAAAAGGGCTGAAGAAACCAACGTATGTTCATTGTATTCGAATACAACATACGTACGTTGTATTCTTTTTTTATTTTATTTATTTATTTATTTTATTATTATTATTTTTTACGTACGTTGTATTCGAAGTCTGTGGCATTTGAGACATTTATGATTTATCACTATTTTAGTATTTTTATTAATATTTTTTTTCCACACAACAAAAGTTTTTCACGATTTAAAAAAACGTTCAAAAAATTCCCAAAAATATATATGTTGAAGAACAATGCAATACAAACATCATTTGCCTGAGAGTATTGCTGAAATTTGGTACCAAATTTGAGAGGGAGGGAAGGGGGGGGGGGGGCAGAGTAGAAGGTTCGTCTTTTTTTGTTTGTTTTTTTCCCAGTGAAATCAGCATATATTTCCACTCAAAGAGATGGAGCCGGGGTCCTCTCATACATTCCAGGGCCACCATCTCATAACCCAAAATTCAAATACAACGTACCACATGTGTATGTTGTATTCGAATACAACATACCCCGTAAAGGGCCTCCCTGGAAAAGTTGTACCTCAAAATTCGTTGCACAAAGTATTCCGATACAACAAATATACCTCTAACGTTGTATCCATATACAACTTTTCCGCCATAAGAAGGTAGGGGTGCTGATAGGAGCAGGTACCACTAGCACTCCTGGGGAGGCTCCATCTATTAGTGGGGACCACCACCTGCTGGAAATTGGGCTCCATCTATTAGTGGGGACCACCACCTGCTGGAAATTGGGCTCCATCTATTAGTGGGGACCACCACCTGCTGGAAATTGGGTCCAGCGTCCCTGAAAATTGTGGTTGATTGCTTGAACATACATGGGACTGGAATGAACAGGGCCTACACATTCCTTGAAAGTGCCTTTCCTTCTTTTCCCCTTTTTTTTCTGTTGAAAAAAACTAGGGTAATAAGGGCACCGTGATAAGAGCACCCCCCCTCAAAAAAAAAAGGGTGATAACGGATCAGAAACGAGTTTAGGACTCAACGAAAAAATCTCTCTCTGACCAAACGAGACCCTTACTCTGGGGGAGGGAGTGGGTCGGTTTGCAGCCCAGTTCCAAGGCTGGACATCCGAGCCTGTGCTCAGTTGGTCCCGGGGCCCGCGAAGGTCCCCCTTGGTCCCGAGGCCCGGTGGTCCCGAGGTCTGGTGGTCCCGAGCTCCGCGAAGGTCCCGTGGTCCCGTTGGTCGCGAAAGTCCGGGGGTCCCGTTCGTCCCGAGGCCCGTGAAGAGGTGGAGAAGGGAGACCGAGGCCTATCTCGCCCACGGTGCTGCGCGCCGCACAGGCCGCCTCTTCCGCCTGTCACACACTGCGATCCCCCCCCAACCCAGACCCGGCGCCGCCCCTACTCCTTTGATAGCCACCCTCCCCCCTCGCTATGCAGCCCTAACATCCCCCTTGCCCCAGCTGCCCCGACCTATAGCGGGGCTATTCGGTGACGATCGCGGGGAGAATTGAAGCGTCGCTCGCTGGACTGGTTAGACGTCTCCCATCCCCCCCCCCCCCTTACCCGTATTTATCTACTTCCCGTGCTCACACGCTGCGCGTTGTTTTTTTCTTTGTTTCCATCCTTGTCATCTTTCCATATCTCACTGCTTCGCACTCTCCCTCTTGTCCTCTCTCTCTCTCTCTCTCTCTCTCTCTCTCTCTCTCTCTCTCTCTCTCTCTCTCTCTCTCTCTCTCTCTCTCTCTCTCTCTCTCTCTC